AGTTGTCCGGAGGTCCTGGAGAGACATGAGAGATCCGGGCTGTGCTTCTGGCACTGGTGTCCCCTGCAGTATGGACGTGACTTTATTCCAGTCATCGTGCCTGGGAATCTCCCAGTGCTATGAGGCTGTGCTCACCCGGAAAGGCTGGAAAAGGTGCTTCTTCCAGGAACAAGCAGATGGGGAAAAGTCAGCCAGCAGACAGACAACATGACAGTGAAGAGGGCAGTCAGCAGGCAGCAGTGAGGGATGGGCACACGGGAGAGCGGGGGTTGCCTGTCAGGAGGGGTGCTCCAGCTCCGGGTGCTGGAGATCTGCATGGGGCGACACGGGGGCTTCTTGTCTCTAACCCTGGCAGGGAGAGTCCAGGCACCGTGCGATGACAACGTCCAGGGATCACTGAGGGGAGTCAGGCAAAGCTTCCCTTGGGGGCTGCAGTTGGCAGGAGCCTGGACACAGTTGTCAGTTAATGGTTGTGACACTGGCAAGTGCTGAATTGCTGGGTTTAACCATTTTCAGCTACTGGGAGGCAACTCTAGGTTCCTGACCCAGAGACATAAGAGTAAACTGGAGAGATGAGGTCTAACCCAAGGGAGCAGAAAGAAAATTACATTATCAAGATACTCAAGACTGTGGAAAGGAGAATCCAGGTGTGAAACTGGAGGACACTTAGAAATAACTTGGGGAGGGGGCCCAGAACCTGGGCAGCGCAACTCCTGCACACAGTGCAGCTCTGTGCAGGCACGTGAGAGCCGGTGCAGAGGGAAGTGTGCTGGGGACAGCTGGGCATCCGCAGGGAGCCCGGCTCCCCCGCCAGCACAGCCTGCTGAGCTGGAGCCCACATGCCCGGCGAGAGCACACGTGGCCCTAGCAAGCGGGGCAGCATTAGCTTCTGAGGGCTCTGCAAATCCATGCGGGTGCCACCGCAAAGCGCCAGCATCACCCATGCACGGCTGAGCCGGGATGGGCCACACAGTAGCAGACAAGGAGACCTGAGGAGCAGCATTGGCACCACAGACCTGCCTGGAGCGAGGCAGAGCGTGATCATGTCTGCCTATCCCCAAACTTGCCCATGAGACAGCACCAGGGCACTGTCCTCCTGTGCAAATGTGATGGGGAAGCCAGGACAGGCTCCTGCCACCAAGGGTCCTGGAGAAACCTGCTTGGCCAGAGCCAAGGACCCACGTGCATGCAGAAAGCGCTGGTTGTTTCCCCGAATTGTGAAGTTCTCAGCTCAATACGGGGCTGGGGCAGATAAAGATGACTCAGAACAAAGTGAGCCATGTCTAATGTCTCCTGGGGCTTTTTTTTTGTGTATGTGAGAGAGCAAGCGAGTGACTCATGGCAGCTTCTCGGGAATGCAGAGTATCTCAGAAGCAGCAGCCACCCACTGGGCTCTCACCCTTCCCAGCACTCACATGGGCAGAGGGCACCGAGACACTAGCTGTGCTGTGTGGCACTGAGGATCCAGCGAAAGGACCAGGCATGGCCCCTTGTACCAGCACTTCTGTGCTGGAGCATCTCCCGCTGCTGGCCACATCCCACCTGGACCCTGCCTGCCTGGGGGAAGGCTCGGTTTTGGTGTGCAGCCCCTTCAGAAAGAGGAACAGCAGCCTGAGAATTGTCAGGACACATTCCTGGTCTTCCACGGTTGTGCCCTGGGCAAGTCTCTGCCACGTGTGCTTGCCACGCTTCCTCCCCATGCCGCTGGGCGCACGGTGCCAGCTTGCTCCTGCCCAGCTTGCCAGCCATGCCCACCTGGATGCGTGCCACACTGACTCATTTCACCAAACGCCACAGGAGGTCCCTGTCACCTCTCCGGCTCCTCTCTGCACAGCTGGAGCGAAGAGTGCTGCAAGGGTTTCCAGCCTCCTCTCCAGAGCCAGTGCTGGGATTTAGTCACAGGGGATGTGTTTATCCCATGTAACCAGTCCCACTGCGCTCTGCAAGGGCGGAGGTGCTCTAGGGGACCTGCTTTTTTCAGAATGCACTGTCTCAGTTAGGAAGAAAAAATATTAAAACAAATCACCAACCCACCAGCCAAAAAAGGCATCTCTCCTGGAGCTTTTGTTTCTATCCAGTCTGCTGCAAACCAGCCCAGATGGAGAGACAAACCCTGGCCCTAGTGGAGATAAATCACAGCAGGAGCAAAGCCCACAACTTCCTTGTGGGAAAAACCTCCCTCCTTTGGAACCAAAGTTCTGGGTTGGAGGAGAAATGCCTGGCGGACCTTGCTCAGCTGCTGCACCCCAGCAACGATGGAGCAAAGAGGGGCTGCAGCCCCAGGCAGCTCTCAGACTGTCTGACCTGCAGAAAACGGGATCCCAAGGGAGCAGCAGGACAGCAGGGCCGATGGCACTAACACCCCTGAGTATCTGGCAAATCTAGTCCCGGAGCAGAAATGCTGATGTGGAGGAGGTCCCAAAAATAAGTCTGCTCTCCTCCCTTGGCTTTCCCTGCAGTAAGTGGGTCAGTGAAGCATTTTTCCTTTCTCTCTTGTTTCTCACATCGAAGTGTCTCTGCATGATTCAGGCAGCAGGAGCACAACGGCCGCGCTCCTGACACAGGGTGTCTGGGGGGCTAGGCCTGCGGGAGCTGGGGAGGACAAGAATTTGGGAGGGTCTCCCTAGCCAGAGGATGCTCCCCACAGCCACTGGCTTTGCACAACTATTGCTAAAGGATCTTTGCTCCTCAAGCATCAGAGCAGCCTGGGGAAAACCAGAGCAGCCTCCAGGCACTCTCGTCCTTCATAAGTCACCTAATTACCCTGGCTGATTAAATGAAGCTCAGAGCAATTGCTCTCCCCTGGGCTTGCTTTGAGGGTTGCTACCGCTGGGTCAGCCTGGAGATGGGCTCACATTCCCAAGGGGTGTCTGGTTTTTGGTGTCTG